GGTGGTGGGAAGTGGGTGGCGAAACGGGGGCTGGGAAGGGGGCTGTACCAGGAGAGCTGTGGCTGTGTCACGCTGAGGAGTATGCAGGTTACCTGTACAGCATCGTCTCACTGGGGTGATCCTCCCCTCCAGGTCACACTGGGCAATGTCTGGGGACATTTCTTTTTCTTTTTTAAATATATATCTTTATTGATTTCAGAGAGGAAAGGAGAGGGAGAGAGAGATAGAAACATCAATGATGAGAGAGAATTGATCGGCTGCCTCCTACATGCCCCCTACTGGGGGTCAAGCCCACAACCCAGGCATGTGCCTTAACTGAAATCGAACCTGGGACCTTTCAGTCCGCAGGCCGACACTCTCTCCACTGAGCCAAACCAGCTAGGGCTCTGGGGACATTTCTGGCTGTTATGACGGGAGTGCTCCTAGCACCGAGTGGGTGGGGCCAGGGGTGCTGCTCAGCACCATACTGCCCAGGATGGCCCCAAATGCCAGTAGTGTGAGGGCTGAGAAGCCACTTCAAGAAGCCATTTAAAATGTTAGAAGCATAACACACATCTTCCTCTGTAATAATAACAGCATAATATGCTAATTAGACCGGATGTCCTTCTGGACGAAGCGTGCTCCAGAGGGAAGCTGGTGCTGGTATCCGGGGGAAGGAAGTCCTACTCTTGCACAAATTTCATGCATCGGGCCTCTAGTTTGTAATAAAATCCAAGCAATGAGGTGCCCGGGGTAAAACTAAAGCTCTGCTCTCCCCCTCGGCTGGTGCCCATCTTGCTCCGTTGTCTGGTCCACATACACGTCCTTCACACTTGCTGATCCACAAACCTGGCCATGTGTGCATTCCAGGCCTTTCCCACTGGATGTCAGTTGATATCTCTTGGCCGAGTGGGCAGTACTTGGTGAATAACCACTGCCCATATCACTGGAGGGGTTCTAGAAGGTGGGGGGCTGGGGCTGGCCAGATTTCTGTTTGAGGAAGATCGTGGGTGCTGGGAGAGGTGTGTGGGCCAGGGAGGGGTGGTTCTTCAGGGAGCCTCCCCAGCCTGGTGTTACGTTCCTCTTGGCTTCAGTTCTTTTCCCTTACCTGCCCAGGTGTCCTGTTGCTTTGGTGCTGGGGGTGAGGGTGGGGGGCAGGGCTCCCCAAGAGGTAGGAGCCGGGCTCCTGGAGCTTGAGGGAGGAGCTACCACTTGGGGTGGGGCCTGTATCCACCCACAAGACCCCAGGTTTGGGTTTCACCTGCAGAGCTGTGTATGTGTCCCCCCAGGGACACAGGCAACAGGAAAAGGACACCTCTAGTTATCTGCACACAGACACACCCCCCTCCCCCCCAGCCAACATGTGCTCACACATTTGTCGGGATTCCTCATGTTTGGCACTCGGGCAAGCCATGGAAGGAAAAGGCCCACGCGGTCCCGCTCCCGTTGCGGTGCCCAGGCGTCGGCAGTGACCACAGTGGTGGTCACAGGTGCAGGGAAGCGAGGGCCTGCTGGGAGAGCACCTGTTTGCGGTCTGAAAGGGCCTTTGGGGCGTCTGCTGTCTGTTCATTGTTCTCTAGACAAGGATTTCTAAATTGTCCCCGCGCCATAGATCAGGGTCGGCACATGTTTTGTGAAAAGAGCCAGAGTGGGTTTCAGCTCCGGGCTGGGTGATCTCAGTCACGATGACCGCCCTGGGCCGTTACAGTGGGAAAGCTGCCACAGCGCCTGGAGGAATGGGCCAGGCTGCTTGTCCCTAAAGCTTTACGCAGGCGGAAAGGTATTCACGTGTCACAAAGTATCCTTTTCTTTTCTCCCCTCAGCCATTTAAAAATGTAAAAACCATCCTGGACTTGCAGGCTGGACCAAATCAGGCAGTGGCTGGAGTCCAGCCTGTGGGCCTGAGCTTGCAGACCTGGCTCGGGTAACTGCCTTAACACACACACACACACACACACACACCCCGGGAAATACCACAGAAAAACAAAGTGCTTTAAACACTCCGGCCCAGGAGCCAGAGCGGGGCCGCAAGTGGGCACTCATCTTGGACACAGGATCTAATGGGGGCGCCAAAATCTCACTCATGGAGATGAATGATATATTTTTAATTACTCAACCTTATTTTTAGGCCAGTTTTAGATTTACAAAAAATGGCAAAGGTAATACAGAGTTCCCCTGTACCCCAACCCAGTTTCCCATGTTAACATCTTACATTCGGTGGGTAGCTCAGTTGGTTAGAGCGTTGTCCCAATACACCAAGGTTTCGGCTTCGATCCGCAGTTAGGGCACATATGAGTCAACCAATGAATGTATAAATAAGTGAAACAACACATAGATGTTTCCTTCTCTCTCTCCCTCTCCCCCTCTCTCCCTCTAAAATCACATTTCCTTAATTTCCCCCTGAGGTTGTAGGACCCATCCAGGATCCCACGTGACATGTGGGCTGTGACATTTCTGACATATTCATCAGCTTTCATGCCCTGGGCATCGTGAGGAGGAGGGGTCAGGAGTTTGGTAGATGCCCCTCTATTGGGGTCAGCTGGTGTTTTTCTCATGGTCTGGCTGAGGCAAGGGGATGGGCAATATTTTAATGAAATATTTTTCAAGTTGGAATTAATGCAAAAAAAAAAAATCCATGGTGAACAAAATACCAAAAACTTAAATCCAGTATCAGAAATGCTGGTTTTCCCTTTTTCCTGAGTTCTGACCTGTTTTGTTGTTGTTGTTGTTGTGTTGCTGCAGTCGGAGACCCTCCTATCCAAAGAGGGGAGGGTGGGAGAGGAAGGGCTCCAGTAGGCACCCAGTCTTCCTATTCTTTCTCTTTTTTTTTTTATTGATTTAGAGAAAAACATTGATTTGTTGTTCTACTTATTTATGCATTCATTGGTCGATTCTTGTATGTTTTCTGACCGGGATTCAAACCTTGGTATATCAGGACAACACTCCAACCAACGGAGCTAGCTGGCCAGGGTTAGGCACCCAGTCTTGGGGACAGGGGGGCAAGAGACCTTGTCTATGGCTTCTCCCCCAGGGTACCAGACCCTCCCTGGAGTCAGCAGAGTTCTGGAAGTTGAGATAGAAGAAGACAGAGCAAAGACAGGCATGTGAACCCAGGTGCTCAGCTATCTTTAGAGAGTAGGGCCAGCAGTTTTTTGTGAATTCAGAGTTTATTTCAAAAGGCAGTTCCTAGAAGGTGGAAATGGAGGGGATGACCCAAGGTGACTCCTGTTGGTGGGAGAGAGGGCCCTTGCTGTGTGTGAGGAGGGGAGCAAGGGGAGTGGGAGTGGCCAGGGTGCAGGAGGGAGAAGCTTGCTTTGTCTCTGCTCCCCTTACCGGGTACCCTGACCCCCTCTCAGAATTGTCCCCAGCAGACCTGCTCTATCCTGTATTTTCACAGGTCTAGAGAGGGCAGTTTATTGATTTGTGCCTCGGTTTTCCTATCTGTGAAATGGATCCAGGAGCCCATATCCTGCTCTGAGGGATGACAGGTCTTGGAGCTGCTGCAGTGAGGCGGGGTATCCAGGCCTGGGAAGGTGGGAGGTGGGCGTCTCAGCCTGGCTCTTAAGTCCCACCTTGTCCAGATTTGCCCAGGACATTCTGGAAAATCCCACATCAGGAAACCCCTCTGTCCTGTGGAAACCGGGACCATTGGTCACCCTACTTACAAGTCCTTGGCAGCTCCCCTAAACCCCTCTGCTCAGGGGCCTTTCCTGTGAAAGGGAGGGGAGTGGCCCTCTCAGGATCTAAGCTGCCCTCCCCACCCCAGCACAGATACTCGCTGGTGTCCTGTAGCTTTGTGGCACATGGTGCAGCTGTCCAAGCCAGCTGCCCTGAGAGCCGGCCTGCTGTCGCCCGTCTGTCAGCACCGCATGGCGTCTTAACAGCTTTGTTGAGGTATAACTTCCATCTGATACAGTTCACCTAATTAAACGCTGTAGTTCAGTGGTTTTTGATATATTTAAAGTATGCAGTCATCACCACTAAGTCCAGAACGTTCACCCTCACAAGAAACCCTGTCCCCATGAGCAGTCACTCCCTGGCCCCTGGCACCCACTAGCCCACTCTCTGTCTCTGGATTTACTTGTCCTGGACATTTCACATAAATGGACTCACACACTCTGGCCTTTTGGGTCTGGCTTCTCTCACTGAGCATCATTGTTTCAGGGCTCATCCACGTTGCAGCAGTGTCAGCCTTTGCTCCTTTGCATGGCTGAGTAATATCCCAGTGCTCTGCGGGACCACATTTGTTACCCATCATCCGTCAAAGGACATGTGTGTTTTCACTTTTTGGCAGTTGGAATCGTGCTGCTGTGAACACGTGTGCAGGTTTTGTGTAAATGTGTTGTTTTTCCTGGGTGGCTATCTAGCAGTGGGTTTGCTGGGTTATGTGGTTACTCTCTGTTTAACCATCTGAGCCACCACCAGGCTGCCTTCCACAGCGGCTGCACCCTTATCGTGGAGGCTCCCATTTCTCCATGGCCTCACCAGCACTTGTTACCATCCATCTTCTTCTGTAGCTGTCCCAGTGGGGTGAGGTGGTATCTCACTGCCCTGGTTTGGTTCCAGGTATTTGTAAACACATGCACCTCCACACGGGGAGGGTGGGGCAAGGAGGCTGATGGGGAATATAGGTGTGACCTGGCAGGGGACAAGTGGTGGGGGCAGGTCAGGCAACCCGGGGCCTCCCAGGGTGGGTGGGCTGAGCTGGTCGGGAGGCCTCCGGGGTTAGTAGGAGCTGTGTCCCATGGCCGGCCACCCTGGGGCGCCTGCTGCTGTGGGGGCTTTCCCTCACCCGGGCCTTGCTTTCTCCCCAGGTAAGCGGCATTAAGACGCTGTACGAATCGGAGCTGGCCGATGCTCGCCGAGTGCTGGATGAGACAGCCCGGGAGCGGGCCCGGCTGCAGATCGAAATAGGGAAACTGAGGTCTGAGGTGGAAGAGGCCAACAAAAGGTAAGAGGTACAGCTGGTGTGGTGTAGTTCTGATTCTAGGGCCGTAGTGTGTACAGGGCGGGGCGGGCGCTAGAGTCAGGGGCTTGTCCAAGCTGGTGGCCCCCACTCAGACAGACCTGGGAGCTGGTCCTGTGGGTTCTTGGAGGCCAGGGGTCAGGAGTGCACTGGCTGCTGGGTGGGTGAGGGTGAGCTCGGTATCCTAGCCTTCTAGCTACCCCCTGACCACCTTTAATCCCACCCACCCCACAACATAATTTGGCCCAAGGAGGGTTTTGAAGCTGGGCAGCATTCCTAGGACTGAATCTAGGAGGTGGTAGTGCTGGGTCAACCTCCTCCTTCAGGCCACAGAGCCCGGCTTCCCCAAGGACCCACCGCTCTCTTCCTCTACCCTGGATTTGGGAGACGCCGATGTGCCAGCTTCCTTGTTTCTGGGGCCCCTGCAGGCCCACGTGGCCTTTATCCTCTGCCTCCTCTCAGTGTCCTCATCCTGGGAAACTTCGGAGCCAGACTCCCCAGCCCCATCTTCACCCCAACCAGGCCCATTGCGGCCGGGCAACCTTCAGGCTGAGTCTTTTTTCTTACTTGCAAAGCATGTTCTTTTGCCTGTTTATGAATAAAAAGGTTTCAAAAGTTGGGAGAATAAGTTGGTGCTGGTGATAATAGCAGAAGTAATAAAGTAGTGTGTGTGTGTGTGTGTGTGTGTGTGTGTGTGTGTGTTAATCCTTACCCGAGGATATATTTTTTCCCCATTGATTTTTAGATTCCCATTGATTTTTAGAGAGAGTAGAAGGGAAGGGGAGAGAGAGACACACACACAGAGAGAAACATTGATGTAAGAGAGACACATCAATCGGTTGCTTCCCGCAACCACCCTGACCAGCCTGGGGATTGAGCCTTGGCTGGAATCCACCCTTTAGTCTGAGTGCGGACACAAACCACTGAGTAAAACCAGCTAAGGCAAAGTAATAAAAAAAAAAAAACACACGTATTTTTATTGATTTCAAAGAGGAAGGGAGAGGGAGAGAGAGAGAGATAGAAACATCAACGATGAGAGAATCATCGATCGGCTGCCTCCTGCATGCCCCGCACTGGGGATCGAGCCCACAACCCGGGCATGTGCCCTTGACTGGAATCGAACCTGGAACCCCTCAGTCTGCAGGCCGACTCTCTATCCACTGAGACAAACCAGGTAGGGCCAAAGTAATTTTTTTTTTTAATCCTCACCCGAGGGTATGCTTTCATTGGTTTCTAGAGAGCGAAACATTGATCGGTTGCCTCCCGATGCGCCCTGGCTGGGGATTGAACCCACAACCTTCTGGTGAATAGGACAGTGCTCCAGCCAACTGAGCCACCTGGCCAGGGTGTAATAAAATACTTTAAATACACCAAGTATTAAAGTAATACAGGGGATACCATGAGTAACACCAAGTTCAGGCGTGATCCCCTTCCATCCTCACAGTGACCCTAGCAAGGCCAGACTTTCCTCATCTCCCTTTACAGAGGGGGAAACTGAGGCATGGGGTTGGGGACTTGTCCACAGTCCCTCAGCTCCGCAGTGACCAGGACCAAGAGTGGACCCTGGTTTCCTGAGTCCCTCTGGTAGTTCCAACAGCCAACAGCCACCTTCATATTTGTGGCATTTTTTCTTCTTTTTTTGATTAATAGATGAAAAAAAAATTTTTTTATTGATTTTTTTTTAGGGAGAGAGAGATAGAAACATTGATGAGAGAGAAACATTGATCAGCGGCCTCCTGAATGCACCCCACTAGGGATCAAACCCAAAATCTGGGCATCTGCCCTGACCTGGAATGGAACCGACAACATCCTGGTGCATGTCTCGATGCTCAACCACCGACCCACACCAGCTAGGTGCTTCCCCCCCCCTTTCTTTTTTTTTTTTAATAGAGGTTTTTTTGAGCAGTTTTAGGTTTACAGGAAAATGAGTAGAAAGTTCAGTTTAAAAAAATTCCCCCCTTGGCTTTCCCCACTGTCAATGTATTACGTTAATTAGTGAGCCATCTATACTAATAAAAGGGTAATATGCTAATTAGTCCGGATCCTCCCAGACAAAGCCATGGTGGCGGGGCCGAGGCAGAGGTGGTTAGGGGCAAAAAAAAAAAAAAAAAAAAAAAATTCGGGGTGATCAGGCTGGTGGGGGGGGCAGTTGGGGGCGAGCTGACTGGCAGGGGGGGCAGTTGGGGGTGATCAGGCTGGCAAGGGGGGCAGTTGGGGGCGAGCAGGCCGGCAGGCAGAGTGTTAGGGGCGATCAGGCAGGCTGGCAGGTGAGCGGTTAGGAGCCAGCAGTCCCGCATTGCGAGAGGGATGTCGCCTGAGGGGTCCTAGATTGGAGAAGGTGCAGGCCGGGCTGAGGGACATCCCCTTCACCCCCACCCCCCATGCACGAATTTCATGCACCAGGCCACTAGTGTTGTTATAAATGACTAGAGGCCTGGTGCACGAATTTGTGCACCAGTGGGGTCCCTTGGCCTGGCCTGTGGGATCGGGCCGAAACCAGCTCTCCAACATCCCCTGAGGGGTCCTGGATTGTGAGAGGGCGCAGGCCAGGCCAAGGGACCCCACCGGTGCATGATCAGGCCGGGGAGGACGTGGTAGGTTGGCGAGCCGGGAGGGACCGCAGGAGCACTCCAGGGTGTGTCCAGCCCATCTTGCTCAGTCCTGATCAGCCGGACCCCAGCAGCAAGCTAACCTACCAGTCAGAGTGTCTGCCCCCTGCTGGTCAGTGCATGTCATAGCAAGGAGTTGAGTGGTCTTAGCATATCATTAGCATATTACGCTTTGATTGGTTGAATAGACGATATGACCGGACACTTAGCATATTAGGCTTTTATTATATAGGACTAGAGGCCTGGTCCCCGAAATTCGTGCACGGGGGGGGGGGGGGTTGTCCCTCAGCCCAGCCTGTACCCTCTCCAATCTGGGACCCCACAGGGATCGGGCCTAAACTGGCAGTCTGACATCCCATTCACAACCCAGTACTGCTGGCTCCCAACCACTTGCCTGCCTGGTTGCCCGCAACTGCCCTCCCCTGCCGGCCCGATCACCCTCAACTGCCCTCCCCTTCCGGCTTGGTCACCCCCAACTGCCCTCCTCTGCAGGCCCGGTCACCCCCAACTGCCCTCCCCTTCCGGCTTGGTTACCCCCAACTGCCTTCCTCTGCAGGCCCGGTCACCCCCAACTGCCCTCCCCTGCCGGCCATCTTGTGTGAGGGCGTGATAATCAATTTGCATATTATTGCTTTATTATATAGGATGAGTCAATATCTATACATTATTATCAACTGAAGTTCAGAATTGACATTCTGCTTGCTAGGCTGAGAAGTCATGTTTTTTTCTGTTTATCAGAGTCATAGATGTTCACTGTCAAGAAAGTGGAAAATAGGTAGTTTAAAGAGAAAAATGAAGGTGTCCGTGAGCCTCCACCCAAATGGAATCGCCTTGGCGCATCTGACACGTGTCTTTTCCGCCTTTTTAATTTAAACTAAAGGTGGACACAGATAGCTATGAGGTTCTTTGGGATAGCAAGCCTCTGAGTTATCAGTGTCCTCTGTGACGTGATGTCGCAGTTGCTGGCACGTACCAGCATCCGGGAGTGTGTCACCAGTGGCTGCCATGGCTCAGGTTG